AATAAATAATAACGGTACCGGCAGATGGTGTGGTGGTTAAGGGCGCTGGACTCCCACATGGCCAACTGCGGTTCAAGTCCCAGACCTGGCAGCTTATGTTCTCACTTTCCCTCTCTCTATCATTCTGTCCCTCTCTGGTCAAATTAAAATAAATAAATAAGTAAAGTTAAATAAAATAACTCTTTAAAAAAGAGAAATAAATAATATCTAAATTTAGCAGATTTATAAACTTAACTACTCACTTGGCCCTTTACCTACTTGTTTGCCGTAAAATGTTCAGGAAACCGAGTGGGGAAATGTCATAGCAAGTGACTTTAAAATAGAGGGGACTGGCAGGTGGCAAGTGGTTAAGGCCACATGGCTGACCATAGTTCGAGTGTCAGACCTGGCAGCTTGCTTTCTCATTTTCCCTCTCTCTCTCTGTTCAAATTAAAAAAAAAATAAGCAAGCAAATCAAACTAAATTAAATTAAATAGTTCTTTTAAAATGATGTATAGTGAATGAATGCAAATAAATAAATTTAAATTTAAAAATAATAATAAAGTTAAAGTAATCTAAAAAAAAAAAAAAAGACAAACGCCAAAGTATCATAAAAGCTGCAGTGAGAAACACTCCTTACCCCAAACACCTCTCCACTGTTATTAAATTCGTTTTGCTAAAAAACAAAAACAAAAAGAACAAACAAGCAAAACAAAAAACAATTTAGTGCGCAACAGCCCATCATGTGGGGTGGAAAAGCTAGTCTATATGACTTATTATCATTATTATTATTATCATTTACTTTTGCGGTAGGCTGTGTGCACATGCCAGAGAGACACAGAAAGAGAGTGAGAAATCATCCCCCCAAGGAGAATGGCCAAGCCACAGTCCCTTCTCCTCCGTTCTCCTGTTGGGATTTGGGGCAAACACGTACACACATCTGGAGTGTTTTTCAAACCACCATTGGGGACTCGAACCACGCAGCTAGCCACGCACAGTCGTGCTATTGATCTTTATTAGAATCCTTATAAGAATGTCTTATGTCGGGGCAGGCAGGTAACGTGGTGGTTAAGGGTGCTGGACTCCCACATGGCCAACTGCAGTTCGAGTCCCAAACCTGGCAACTGGCTTTCTCACTTTCCCTCTCCCTCTCTCTCTGTCTTTCACTTTGTCCCTCTTTGCTCAAATTAAATAAATAAAGAGATAAATAAATAAAGTTAAATAAAATATTTATTTTTAAAAAAAGAATGTCTTATGTGTAATGGGAATTTGAGTGGCCTCAACTATCTTCTCTAGCCTTCATAAGAACCTGCAGGGACTACATAAAGATACAGATGTAAAACAGAGAATCAACATAAGTTATCTTGTAATTCTAAATTTTAACAGAATTTGAAATATGAGTATACATTCGTTAGGTGTTATAGCTTAAAAGAAACACATACACAGAGAGAAAGAGAGAAGGGGTCCAGAATACACCAATGTGGCATAAAGATTATTTTGAGCAGAAGGCATTCAAGTTCCTGAAATCTCTTTTCCAATTAAATGCAGAGCTTCTCAAAGTATTCAAAATAACTCAAATGTCATAAATCCCCTCCCCAGAAGCAACCAGGGAAGACTGACTCTTACCACCAGAAATGAGACAGCTCCATGCCACACCTACACAGACACAGTCACAAAAATATCACTGCTCCCATATAGTCTCCTAAAGGCTCATTTATCTTCTCAAAAAGTCAAATTTTTGTTTTCCTTTAAGCAGATTTTTCCCCCTCCCCTTCCTCTATTGAGATGGTATATAAATTCCAAATGTATATGCCATCTGCCCCTTTGGTACACACTTATTTTCTGAGAATGCCTGTTCGTGCATGATTAAATCTACTTTCTCCTTGCAGTGTTTTGATGAATCTAATTTGGTAAAGGAAAAGTTTTTCCTCACTTAGTTTGGCAACAAGAATGAAATGTTTTGGACTCCATCACTCCTGGAGCCTGTAGCCAAAAATCGCAGGACCTCTGACTCAGCTGGCAAGAAAATGCTTCATTTAATGGTCGGTCTCCCAGTTTTTTGCTGGGAGTTCAGTTAAGCAAGGGCACTAAACGCCTTTTCTTTCTACAGTTTGATCATCAGGCCCCCAACCACTAACTCTCTAACTACAGATGATAGTGATACCAATGTGCTAAAAAATTTAGATGTAGATATACATGTAGATGCATAGCCCACGTATGGAGATCACACAGAGCCAACTTGCATACTGAATACTGGTAAATAAAGGAAACATATCAACCACATGCCTTGCTTGTCCTACTAACCAACCAAAGAGTAAAGAAAACTTTCTTTTATGAAAGAATTCTAGCAAAGTTAAAAAAAAAAAAAAAAAAAAAAAAACAAAAACCAAATAAATCTTAAAAAAAAAAAAGAAAAAACCCTGTGACCAAGTTCCCTGGTTGATTGTGAACTCTTTCGAGGCTAGTTTTTCTTTGACCAATTATTTAACTGTATTTATTATTAATAAATACAGTTAATAATAAATTTTTTTAATTATTTAATTGTATTTATTATTACTTTTTTAAAAAGAATTATTTATTTTACTTATTCATTCATTTTATTTTTTAAATTTAACCAGAGACAGACACAGAAAGAGAGAGAGAGGGAAAGTGAGAAAGCAAGCCACCAGGTCCGGGACTCGAACCATGGTCAGCCATGTGGGAGTGTCCAGCTCCTTAACCACCATGCCACCTGCTGGTCCCCTATTATTACTTTTTAATTTGACTAGAGAGAGAGAGAGACAGACAGACAAAGGAAAAGTAAGAAAGTAAACGGCCAGGATCAGGACTCGAACCATGTTTGGCCATGAGGGAGTCTAGTGCCTTAACTACCGTGCCACCTGCTGGCCCAAGGCCAGTTCTTCTGTGTAGTCTTCCTTATCCTTCACATGCTTAGTTTTTGTTCAAAGGAGCTGCATGAAGTGCCGCCGTGTGGGCCCTCTGCAACTGGGGACTCCAGTCTGGGACGTCATTTGGAGCTGCGGCATCCCA